ATTCCGGAAGCGCATGATTAATCATAAAATCCTCCTTTGGAGTTACATTAAGCTTATTACGTACGCAAAGAAATCAGCCTTTCAGTATTAATAAGTACTTAATGTTACATGGCATAATTTCGCACATATTATTGTTTTCATAGATATACAGCAGCGCTCAAAAGTCTTCGGTGGAATGCTTCTCCAGTTGTACTATTCAGTCATAACTCTTTCCTATTGAATCTAATCATGCAAAATTTCAATATGTGTAGCATGGGTATTGTGAATATTTACCACTATTGACCTGCAATCTGATCATATTCCAGATATTCCAAAGAGCTTAACTCAAAATCAGCTGAAGATACAGATGATGGCCCTTCTAGAATCTCTTCCCTTTTTGTCATGTCTAAAGTGTACGAGTAGTGTACTAATACCGAACTTAGGAGAGGAGAAAAACCTGCAGGGTGCGAATAACTGCAGACGCCAATAACTTTGCTTATGGCGAAGTATACTATCGCATCAAACCCATGCTCTTAGTTATGTGGATATTGCTGTTTGCAGTCGAATAGTGCTGGGTAGGGTGAAATATGCTCGAGTTAAGCATATCCAAATTTCATGCGATTTGGTCAACTAAGAAAAACGTTATGAAAAGCGTTTGACCGAAAACTTTTAGCGCTACTGTATCTACTATTGACTGTACTTCACAGAGTTCCCATTTCCATTATTATTATGCTTGAATAGAATCTGTTACAAATTATACCGTAGTTATTTCCAGCATCACCCAATGGACAGAACACATACTTATTCTGATACTGTTCAACAACTTCTTGAAGGAAGTATTCCTCCATATCCTTTACTAGCAGTGGCTTCTAACACTGCTAATAAGTAATGTGGGAGAATATTTCAAGTCTTACACTTTTGTGATAACAAAAGTATAGATGCTTTCCAAGTAGACCTATCTAATGAACATTTGATTTATCGTTGTTTTTGAAGAACGAAACGACTTTGATCATCGTATCTATATAAATGTTTTTACTTAAGTCTTGTGATGCCATCGTCTCATCTAGAGTTTGTTCCTTTCTCCAACATGAATCCTGGCTAGTTTTTTTTATTAGACCTTATTTTTTATTAAACAATATGACGAAAATCTTCATTTACATATTTTTAACAGAACCTGTATAATAATCACAACTGCTTCTGATTGCCCCTTCTAGTTTTCCATTGTCATGGTATCTCAAAGCTTTGTTGTAATTGCACATTCTAGGTGGGCTCCTCTAACCAGGGAGGGGTAGTCTACTTAATGTGGGACTTTGAATGAAGACCCAGATAAATCGAAAGAGTTTTGAATGCTGTTGACGAAAATGGAAATTAAAACTGCAAAATGGTTTTCCTTAAAAAGTTATGAGGGCTCGAATTTTGCTTGACAGTAGTNGAACTCGTCGCTTTACTGTCAAGCGCCCACGTGGACCAGCGGTAGTGGTCTCGCTTCATTGCCATAAAATGAGGGTTTGCTCCCAGACATCGACGGCATTTTTGCAAAGTGTTTTTACATTTTGTTAAAGGCTCTCTAACATTTTTCTGACGTTTCTTTGAGTGAACGTCTTATTTCTGCTTTTATTTTCTCTCATCGCTCCTATCTAAGGTAAGTGGTTCTGCAAATTAATTGTATGACGCTTTTTTGTTTTAAACTTCAAGGAACAGGAGATGTATAAGGTGCCTGCAGAAGACGTCTTGAGCCGATTGACTGTTTTATCACCGGATGTAGAGAAACAGTATGTATAAGGCGTGCAGTTTGTGAACAACATGTGTACTTCACGCGTGTTTAAAAGGTTCCTCTATCATTGTTCAGTTTTTGCAAGCATCTCACTCATCTCTAGCATTTTTCTGTTGAACGAGACCCTTACCAATAGGCCTTGTGGGCGCTTGATAGTGAAGCGACGAGTTCGCATATCCAATTAATACTACTGTCAAGCAAAATTTGAGCCCTCATAACCTTTTAAGGAAAATCACTTTGCAGTTTTAATTTCCATTGTCGTAAACAGCATTCATAACTCTATCGATTTATCTGGGTCTTCATTCAAAGTCCCACATTAACTAGACTACCCCTCCTTGGTAAGCAGGCCGGGACAGTGCCACGACTCCTCTCTAGGTATGTTGCGTGGCAATTTCAATTGGCAGTGGGGTTCAGAGGTGATCATCTCACGATGCCCTCACAAATTGATTTGATTTCGCCTCGAGGACCTCTAGCGGACCTCTGGTTATCTCACTACCTGCCCTACCCTTGCTCTCAAGATCGATTTTTACGGATAATTGGTTTTCACTTACTCTCTAGACTCAAGGAAATACATAAACAAAACTATGAATGGGCGTGACATTTCATTTCCTTCCTAAATAAGTGGGGCTAACCACAACTATTCATCTTGTTTACCGCAATTACATCATCCCTCCAAACATAGATCGGATGTGCATGCTGTGTATCCTGTCACTCTATGTTTCTCATTGTTCGTAGTTCGTAGTCAAAAGCTCTCAACAACGTAAAAAATCTGAATCTTTTATCAGAACATATGCTTCAGAACTGAGAGAGCCTCATCAACGGTCATACCTAGGCAACTTCTTGAAGTGCTGAAAAAAGTATTTAATTAAGGTCATCTTCTGTTGACTAGATTCCCTGGTGCAGGCGTGTTGGCAAAGTGAGCGTTTCGCCCAATAGAATGATTTTTTTCCTAATCCTTTAGTACTTTGATCTATACACTTCACTGGGTTGAAGATTGAACGTTGAAGGGTCAATAAGATCCGATTCACAGTTTATGATTCTTCTGTGATTTTTATGCCGACGAAGTTGTTATGTGGAAACAAACCTCCACCTAAAAACCTCGTCCGCAGAAGAATCACTATAAAATCATGAAAGGTATATAAATGCCGAGGTTCTACGAATAGAAGTCACCTAATTCACAACTAAAGTTCCATACTCAGCAATCATGGTGTCCTACTATGAAGGCACGGTTCACGACAAAATTGACTTTTGAGATATCCCGCTGGAATGCCGCACATAAATGCTCAAAGATTGCACCGTGTGTATCCTCAGACGAGTTTCACCGGCATTGCAGAGGCTGCACCAATCTCGAGGAAGTCAACGAAGGGAGATCGAACAACTTGTTATGACCTGCAGTTCTGGCTTGTAGTCAGTTCTTTGCGCAAGTTCAGATACCCCTTCTATGTTATTTTCGTCATGGTAATCTCGTCCAACCTTTACATCCCCAGCTTTAAAGAGCTTTATTTTTCTCGCAATCGACGACTTTTCTCGCTCTCTTCCTACCTAAGAACTATTCCCTCCCTACACTTCCGCTTTTTGACTAAAAAGTGGTACCTCAAAATTATCGCGGACTGCGCCTTTAAATATAGCCATGAGTGAGTAATGTTAGCATTTGATTTTTGCTTCTTCGCAATCTTTATTGACTACCATCTCTGCGGCCTAGCTGCCTTCCATTATTTCCAAACTTTCCGCTTCATCCACATTGTGCCATGATCCTTCCATAGCAATTATTTGAATCGTTCCCCTTTGCCCATTTCTACCTGGAATTTCCGGGCATAGAGGGAATGTTACGCAGTTCAGCTCATTTCCTGTTCACGAACAGTTGGAGCTTTTGAACATAATTTGAAAATGTTATTTTAGCTCTACTTTTTGAAGTAGACCCCTCTTCTCTTGCTAACTTATATCAACAGTTGCCTCCAGTACCTTTTTTTNTTTTTTTCTGGCAGTTCTTGAATAGAATTGTGGATTTTTGATCATAGCCCCTCCCACTCGATGCACTTTCTACCGTAATGAACGTTGTCTTTTCTTCTATTAGTTTTTTCTTTCTTATTCTAGATCTTCTTGTACTGATCTGTGATTGTTCGCCCATGCATCTCCTGAATGAGAGACGCCTCACCCATTTTGGGTAAAGCTCTGCTTGATTCAGGCAAGTTTGGAACCTTGCTTGCTCCTAGAGCTTACTTTATTTGTACAATTTTTCCCGGCTTCCAGGCTATCTTTGAATTAAACTGCGGTTTTATTTAGCAAGTGCTGAGACCTCCAGAACGATCCGCCCACCTCGGATGGTTCTTTTATACCTCATTTATAAATTCTCTAGTCATTTCCGCCCACTTTTTCCTGATATGCGGGATTTTGAAACGGAATGACGCAATATTGTCACCATCAGCACCCATTTCAATGGGAACGAAATTCCTCCTATCAACCTGCAGTCAATCGATAGTGATCAATAGCGGGTGTAGTGTTATGGAGTGGAAATTCGCAGCTAACGCCACTTGTTCCGATTGCATAATTGGATCTGAAGCGGTATACAAGCAATAATTAACGTCAGTGCAGAGGACGACGTCGAGAAGTAGAGGGAGGCAGCTCATTCCGTTTGAAGACTGAACTCCTTCACATCAAAATTCTCCGTTGGCTCATGCCGCCCTGTTCGTTAATGTTTTCGATTTTCTGTTTTTCATCACCTTTTCTTGTTCATCGTCTTCATCATCTGTCAGCTTAGCACTTTCTTTTGGCACCGTTTTCCGAGAGCATCTTTTGAATTCGTCTCGGGGTCATTCGGTCGCTGCCCACCCACATTTTCTGATGTAACCGATAGGTTTCCTCGGCACAAGCGTAGGAGCGTAGGAGCGTACGAACGGGAACACCTGGATGCTTTCACTTCACCCTTACTATCCTTCACAACTAAAATATAGCCGTGAAATATCTTTCACTGTTTTGCTTGCTACCTCGGTACAGTTCGATAATGGAATCCTACTACGAAAGTACCACATTTTTTATCATTTTGATATTTAGGAAACTTTTTAGGAAACAGACCAAAAGCATTGCCTGTCCTTACTGAAATACGCTCAATGCTAACACTAGTTGTCCATGCCATGCAGAACTATGAGAAACCAGATTTCTTGTGTCCGTAGCTGATCCACAGACAGATGGTCCGCAGGACCAGCAAAGGTACTTCGAGAAGGAGTTTCGCGTCATTGAAATATGTAGTTCAACCGCCCTCGTGGGAGGCGTTTCGATACGCAACACTTGGTGGGCGGCTGTTGAAGTTCTTTCCAACTCCCCATAGCATCAGCTGTTCGCGTTCTTTTGCTTTGAAGTATGGCGTAAGAGATTTCGACGGTAGACGTCGATTGTCCACTTTACTCGATTCAATCCGAATTGTCAAATCTCTTCCAACTCTTCCATAATTCCATGATGATTTCTTCTCCTCGTGACAGATTAGCGTGTTGTTCCTGTGATCGCTTAAGCGCATTGCAATACTTCTAATTTGTGGCTCTATTTTTGGACGAAAACATGTTATCGGCTTAGTGTAATCACGGATGAAGCTCGTTACGACTCGTCATAGCTCTGGGCTCGTTTTTCATACTGGCAATAATTCGATCAAACGAAAGAAATACTCATTCCCAGTGAATCCCACACGAGAGAGTCCGTCGTAACACCGCTCAGCAACTATGTCATTTCGCAATAACATGCAACTCACTGAGTGAAATCTGAAGCATCTCGGGAGAGGAGAGGGGGGGGGGGGGGGG